AGCCATAGGCCTATTGGGGAAGGAGGGCTCTATAAATGAATACTCCTAACGAGTGTTTTGCCGAACCGCTAGGTCACTTGGAAGACGGCACATTGGCGTTTTTGTGTGAAATACAATTACTACTTGGTACAGACCAGAGAGTACGGGTACAGACCCACCTTCGACGTCGGGTCGTGGAGTACCTATATTTTTTTCGGGAGTCCGAAGATGTCCTCAGTAAATGTAGCGACCGAAGAGTTCGCAAACGTGCATGTCTAGCATTTCGACAGTCACGGGTAGATGGCAGAGAGATGATTAAAATTAAGGAATTAAAATTAATTCCCTGTCTAGACAATTCTAGTGGCCGGCTACTCTCATAAGTAGTTTTCCTGATTTCTCTGAATAATACCGGAAGTCAAAGCTACCCTAACAAACGGACAACGAACCGTGCGCAATCTTTCCTTTTCATTGGCTCCTCATAGTCCCACCTACATGTGCTCTTACACCTAGAAGCACTATTAGTACACTACCACACATGTTAGGGGCCATTAGAAGCTTAGAGCACGGCTGAGGGGGGGGCGGGGCATTGATGAAGATACTGTAACGTATTAGCCAACGTACCTCGTGGCATCTATTTGGGGACGCGCGGTAAGGGATTAGTAAGAGGAGAACTCCTCGCCACAGGAGGGAGATAAGGGTTTTTCCTTAAAGCAAGAACGCGGAAACGGGAGACGAGGCTTTGGGGTCCTCCGGTCTTAAGAAACGGAAACCCAAACCCTCGTGCCCAGCAACAGGGTCCAGCGGGAGCGGTGTGACGTAGTAGGTCACGTGAGCCTCGAGTTTATAAGGGAGTGCAAAGAGCCAGTGGGTGGGTTCCGCATCTTTCTTTAAATATTCCAGGTTTCTACCGCTACAGAAACGACAGAGCAGCACAAGCAGCAAACGCGACAGACGCTCACAGAGGGGGCGGCACTGCAATTCTAATAAGACGTAACATTAATCATTATGTTATAGCACTTCCGCAGCTGCAGCACGCCGAGGCCACTGCTGTTGTCGTTCAGATGGAGCGAGGGCCGCTGGGTCTCATCTCCATCTACGCACGCCCCGACCGCACAGCGGAAACGTGCGGACCCTGATACCTGCAGATATTGCAAAACTAGTAGAGGCAAACACAACTCCAACACTTGTGACTGGCGATTTTAATGTAAATCACACAACCTGGAGCTCCCGCATCACCTGCCTCCGCGGCCGTAAGCTGAAAGCAACCGCTGATGCAAACGGTTACGCGATATACGCTTCCAATACACCTACCTATTATCCCTTTCGAACGAACTGCAAGCCCGATACTTTAGATATTGCGTTCTGCCGGAAACTCCATTACCCTCCCACACTAACAACCACTTATGAGCTTTCCTCTGACCACTTCTAAGTGATAGCGGATATGAGGCGCGGCGGGCTAACCCTGTCGACTGCACCCATGACGCAGAAGAGGTGCACGGACTGGAATAAATTCCAGACGGAGCTGCAGCAGCGCATACCAGATGCATCTGTACTGTCAGGAGCGCAGGAGATAGAAGCTGGAGCACAACAATTCACCGAAGCTGTGACTGACAGCCTCAACTCAGCAGCTGAGAAGCAGCGTTCCTCTAAGGATTTCCCCGTTAACCATTAACCCCGTTTATTATCAATCTAATTTCTAGGAAAAACAGGGCGCGCAGATTGTGGCAGAGCACGCGACACCCAGATGATAAGCGGGAGCTAAACCGATTGAAACGTATAGTTGAAATCGAACTAGCTGAATACCGCAATCAGAAATGGGCTAAATTGTTGTCAGGTCTCAAACCTGAAGATAATTCACTGTGGTGAGTCACTCGCATGCGTTCCAGGACACTAATAACAGTGCCGCCACTTCAGACCAGCACAGGCGAGTTCGCAGAATCTAACGAGGCGAAAGCGGAACTCCTAGCTAATGTCTTAGAATCTCAGTTTCAGCCGGTCAAGGAGGCGCCGTCAATACAGCACGTTGTCGAAGTACAACAAACGGTAATGGCGGCCTTGCACGCGCCCGCCGACGAGCCGAGTTTCTCTACAGAGACTGAAGTAAAAGCGGCCATCTCGGAGCTGCAAACTAGAGAAGCTCCTGGCCCCGACGGTATCTCTAACGACTTCCTGAAGAAGCTGCTGCAGCAGGCCACAGTGTTCTTAGTCGCTCTGTTTAATGCTATATTTATGTTTCAGCATTTCCCGAGTCAGTGGAAACATGCACATATTCTAACTTTTTACAAGCGAGGGAAAAATCCGAAAAAGCCCGAGTCGTACAGGCCCATAAGTCTACTAAATACGGTCGGAAAGCTCTGTGAAAAACTAATCCAAAACAGAATTCTAAAATTTGCTTCAAAAGGGCTCACAAAAGTACTTGTATAATATTACATGGAAAAATACCATATAACAATACTGAAAGTCTCCAGCATTGTATTGCCTCACAAGCAATAATAGGAGTGAAATACATACGTATATTTCTCAAGAGGTTAAATTATGTTTACCTTTCTGTGAAATAATTAATTTGATTCGATTCCAGTTTGAGTAAAACACAAAATAAATAAATATATTTAAAACTGCTTAAGTACACCAGGACAAATGGTGTTATTGCGCCGCCCAGAAAAGAATTTATCTCCCTAGATAAATGAGTTGCTGCAGCATATTACTTGCCGCCAAGAAGCGCTTTTTAACCTTATAAATAAAATAAAAATATAAAATACATTTTGAGATCGAGCTGTGAGCATATAGTTTTACGAAGTGTATCATCTACTATGGTCATCAATCTCCTGAGTGTAGTGCACATCGTAATTTGGGATGTTGCGGTGAGCTTTCCCCATTAGACTGAGAGATCCAGTGCTGACCTACACTTCAGCTTACAGGGTTATGAATTAACAAAGGAACTCGATGACAAGAAGTAGTCAGGATGAGTACACAGGCAACTTTTTATACAACAGTGAATTTTTAACGTTTGCTGGAGAAAAAGTCCTTTGCTACCTCTCATAGCTATTACTGAATGTAAAGTGTACAAGATTGTGCCCAAGGTTAACAATTCAAACATTAAAAATGTAGCTATTTACACATACTTGCATGGAAAGGTGCTTGACTGCATGACAATGAATTTTCGGAATAGCTATTGCAAAATTAATAAATATTAAAAAATCAATTATTGAAAGCAGAGACTGCCATTCGGCCTAATGGCAACTCATATGTTTACAGAATGACAGAGCTAGAGACTTGATAATGCAAAATTGATAGTCAGGGCGCCTCATTAAAACATACAAGTTACATTACCACTCTCTTACACTATGACAATCCGACATACGACCCGTTAATGACTATACAATGCACTTTTGCCAAGACGTCTACTCTACCAGAAAAACATAGAACTGCACCTACTACTGATCCGTAGGCGAAGTGTAAGGAAAACAAATGCCTCTGTTGACTACTTCTCGCGCAGCATCTCGCGCCAGCTCAGATGGGCATCTGCGCTGCTGTACGCGCGAGTATTTCAACGTTCGCGTCATGTATGGCATGCACCCGATAGGCCGATTCATTCACGTAGCAAGAAATAGGGCGGCTTCTCGCCGGGTCGCCGGAGGGTCTTCTGCCGCGCTTCTGCCGCGGCGTGGGCAAGGGCCCATAGGCAGCGATACGTGAAATGAAGGGTCAAAATCAGTCCATCGCTCTCTGGTAGTCAATATAACTATAGAAGAAATGGCGGCGGATTTGGATGTCATAACAACAGGTTTCCCTGCTCCACGTATTGTGACGTCATGGATACTCACAGCGAACATAGACAATAGAGCTTTCATATAACAAATATTTATTTACAAAGAAAACCCAACAAATATTTACAATGAATTTCCACTTTACACCCTAGCTCTGATAGACCTACTATCCCCTGATCGCGGGAGCGATCAAAACCCGATTGATGATCGGTTTCAATTGTGGTATTCGCCACTCCTACTTTTGAAGCGCGCACAAAGCCAAGCTTCCGTGACCGGATGTCACACTGGGACACAAAGTCCGTTCTGGCGTACCAACTGATGGTTTGCCTCGCAAGAGCGATCTTACCCGATTGAGAATCGGCGTAAGTCGTGACCCTCAACCACTCCTCACCTCGGAGCACGCACACAGCATCGCTCCCACGTGACCACAGTCACTCAAAGACACAAAGTCATTTCATTTCATTTCAAAATGCCCATTATCGTCAGTGACAGGTTCTGTCTGGAGTCAGCGGTCCTCGAAAGGATGGTGAAATGATTTTATGGAGGCTGCCACGTCCCATGGAATCTTATTTCCTTTCTCTGATATTTGTTACAGTTGTTTAGGTACACTGTATTCTTGGAGTCAAACAGTGTGTACATTGAAGATTGGGTTAACAGGATTCCCAGAAGTTTCTGGTGTAGATGACACTTATGGAAACACTAATTTTACTAGTGAGTTAAGGGATATTTCACATTTGAATGCAAAGATAACAAAAACATATATTCATTTGTGAAATTAAAATTATAATTGTTCAGTTATAAGTTTTCAAACAATGTTGCAATGCAAATAATCAGGCCAAGGATTTGTTTGGAATATTTTGCCTCCAAATTTGTACATACTTATAGACTAAAAATGTTCAAGATATGGCTCAAATATTCTTTATAACATTGAAAACAATAAAAGGATTAAAACAGTGAAAATAATGGATTACTTAAGTTTAAATTATGCAAATAGAACGGTAAAAGAACTTCATTACTACCTACCTGTAAAACATGATTTTATTATGTTCTAAAAACAATTGAAATTTTTGATATTGAAATAAAGAGCAATATGTGAAAAACAATTTTGTATCCCTGTTCATTCTTTAAAACACATTTGCAAATGACCCTTTCCTTCTTTACATAAAGAAAATACATTTCAATGTTTCCCTTCAAAACATGGCCCCTGTTGATCTCATTTGTTATTAAATTATCAATTACCTTACCGAATTTAATCCTCATGGCAAAGAATTAACACACAATTTAGATTTGTCCTATTTGTAAAAACCTAGCAGTGTCCCTTAAAATTAATATAAGTGGTGAAAGTATCAAAATATATAATATAATAGCAAAAACAAAACACAATAAAAGCATAAGATTTTTTATTCACCAGTAAATAAAAATATAGTTAACTGTAGATACTCTACATACATACTCTCTGCTTGACATGTACATTAAACTCAGTCTCTGAAACAACATTAACAAATTTATTGTATACTTCCCTGTTTAAATGATTCCAGAAATCAATTCTTTTAACAAACTCTGATGTTTAAAAATTGTTACATGGGATAGTTAGTGCATAAATATCAACAAAAATGGAAATATTTAATTTCTGCATTAAAAAATATCGAATTCTCTTTTTTTATTTCATATCTACCACATGCAAAGGACTATTCTAGAAGCAAAAGAATGAAGTATTAGATTATCTACAAGAATCAAAACAATTTTTTAGAAACTCAAAATGTTAAAGTCATTTTTTAATTTAAATTTTATTTAACAAGGAAACCTCATTTTTAATACTATGGTAAAAAAGAAATTGCAAAAAAATCTACTCATAAGATCACTTACAAAGTGCAGTTATGAGGATTAGATAAAAATAATTCTTAAAAATTGAATGCATTATGTCACAATAAAATAATGTTTCAAGACCTTTAATATCTAAAATTCATTTAAAACAAATATAAAAATATAATCAAAATATACAAGTGTCTTTTTAGGATATTTGATAATATTCAAACAAGTGCTAATATTTAACCTGTGTGAATAAATAAAATTATTTAACACTGTTTTGAATTAATCTTGTATTAAGGTGTACCTGAGTTTACATTATAATGAAAAAATCATTCTATGATTGGACAATTTTGTATTAAAAAATCACTTTACACAACGCTGTATAATATCCCAAGGATATTTCCTACTACAATATCCTTATGAAATTAATTTTAAGGAAGAGACAGAATTCCCTATGGCTCTATAATTTTTTTTTTTTTTTTTTAAATTTTGTCCATTTCCAGGAAAATAATGATAATAATAAATCCAGCACAACAGCTCATTTTTCAGTGATTCTCAACATTATATTTGTAAATTATAGGAATAATCATATCATAACAGTTGACTCATCTGATTGACATTCCAACAGCAGATTGCAAATATATTGTCATATGAAAATTCTTTAAAAATATTCTTATTGATCATAAGTAGTTAATCAACTTACAAATAAAATCAATTTTTGAAACTAAGAAAAAAATTAAGCACTGTTTTGAATCCTTAATGAAAAGAGAATGAATTGAAAATTGAATTATTAAATAAATAAAATATTTTTAAAAATTAATTATGAGTCGCCAAAAATTACATAATACTAAAGAGGGGGGATGATTTGTTGATTGACTTTTACTTTTTGTAATTGGAGGGGAGGATGTCTTGTTGCAAGCTTTACGTAATTATTAGAAGGGGTTTCAAACATGCATTAAGAGGGGTGGAGGGGGTATTCAACACACTCCAAATTTGCATTTCATAATTTATGGATAGCCCCTTATGCATGGAAATACATGTCATTACAATAAACTTTGAAATATGGCAACTAAAAGGCTTATCTCTTAAGGATCTCTTAACATTACGCTGAAGATTAATTTGTGTCTATTACAACATGCATACATCTTGTAAACACATAAAACAGATTGTTGCTCTTTTTTAAAGCTTAGGAGCTACAAATACTGATCAAATAATGAAAATGATGGAATGTTACAAAAAGCAAATTATATTCATAGAATAACAGAAGACTACAGTACATATTTTTTACAAAGAAAACTACACATCCAATAAGACATGATTAGAGATGTGAAATACACATTTTATGGCACACACCAATTGACTAGATGTATTTGTAATTTCTCTAGATGTCTTCCATGGTTCTCAATCTGAGAAATATAACAATGTTTCCATTTTCAATACAATAAAAGCATATGAAAATAAAAACTTCTCATCATTGCATTTAAATACATTGATATATTACTTTCATTATTAACTTTTAGGAATGTTAGTTCATTCCCAAGAAAATAATATGTACATTAAAAATATTAAAAGATTATAATACATTTTCAGTATTGAACCTCTCTAAGATTCGTTAATACTATTTTCCTTTGCCAAACATTACAGACATTTTCATCACCCACAAATGATAAGTAATTGAGTGAAGAAGAAAGACTGAAATTAACATGAAAAACTGCCAAATTCTGAAATACAAATTGGAATCCGGAGAAATGTTTCAAAAGTCAAATATGAGGCAAACAGTTAACTCTAAAAAATTAGTCTTTGACATGTCTACCATATAGTCCATATTTTTTATAAAATAATAAAGAAATGACAGAAAATGTTTTCTGGTGTTAATATTTTTTGCAACAATGCACATTAAAAATTTCAATGATTTTGAGAGGAAAATATACAATAAAAGAAACTCTCATACATAATATTATCCAAAAAGTACATAGGCTGCAAATACTGCAATTAGTACTCCCATTCATCACTCAATATAACATTAAGGGCCAGTTTCACCTACAACCGAGTGAAGTTGAGAGTAATTACCCGAGAGTAACCATTTACCCTAAGATAGTAACTCTCAAGTAGAATATGAGCGTTTCACCATGCTTGTACAGGGTTATTTTACTCTAGAGTATATACTCTTTAATTTACTCTGCGAATCAACTGAACGCGCAATATCTGAGAGCGAATCAAGAGGCTGTGAGCGGGAGTGATGCTGGAAAACAAGGGGACCAACGTGAACCTTTGATTAATTCCTTATATTCTATCATTAATTTCAGTTTCAGAGTTCTTGGCGTTATTATATTGTGTGGTGTTATCGTGATTTGAGTTGGCATAGTTTACTTCTTAGTTTTTGTATCTTTATTTCTTAATAAATATTAATTTTTCTTATCTGGAGATAAGTTACTATTTTGTTAGCAATGCAGAAAAATCAAATTTGCAGTTTGTTTACCGATGGTGATCCAAATTAATTTTCTATAACTCGGGAACGAAAATGTTTAGTTTTTCAAATGTTGCTGATCTCACGTTTTTCTAAATTTTATTATCATTGTTATTATTATTATTATTATCATTATTATTATTATTATTATTATTATTATTATTATTTGTTTTATTTTTGAAAATTGTATTCAACGTTCACCTATTTATAGTTAAAATGTTGGAAAGGGATTCTGGAATTTAATAAAACATGTGCAAATGATCTCCCCCCTACGTCACATACAGTTTTTACTAAATACATAAATATTTTTTAGTACTTGCAGTCCCTGTAGTTATTATTTTTCCTTTTGTTATCGTATACAGTATGTAATACCTTTATTTTGTATCCACATGTGGAAAAATAATTTACAAGTTCTCTACAAGTATCTCTACAATGTATCTGATGAAGTTAACAGCTGATTTGGTCAAACATAACCTCGTGACAAAATCTCGATCGTCATAATTGAAATCAATTCATTCTCTCTCGCACCCTTTGTCTTCGCACTAGGGGATAATATTCCGAATCTTTGCTGGAATTGTCTTGAAATTCTATCATTCATAATCGTCAAGCTGTAACAACACTTCGGAGATACATGCATACTGAAAACTGAATTTACTCTGTACTTTACCTGATGGATTTTCGCAGTGTAAAGTTACTCTCGAATTTACTCTAATGTAAGCAATTTACACTCGAGTAGTGTTGATGAAACGCTCCAAGACGTTACTCTCGAGTAAACATGATTTACTCTTTGTTTGGTGAATCCAGCCCTAAGAATATTTCTCTGTGATCATTATAATCACTGTCATCAGTATCAGTACTTTAGCTTTGGAACCTGGGCAAATTACAAAGGTTTATACAGGCTACTTATCAGGTTTCATAGTCATTTACACACATATGCACTGGTTAGTTGCAGAGAGTTACTTGATATTCCTGAAAAATTAAAAGCCTCTCAGCAGCAATTCTTCTAAGAAGAATCTACAGCAAATGTAAGTACATTACCAGCAAATGTATTCTTTGGGATCTTTTCTGTTGTTGCTTAACATTAATATATAAAGTAAGTACCAATAACTAGTGTTGTTGGAGACGTATGCAGATGTATACGTGTATCTATTTTTCTGTAACTTAATAATGAATGCTTGGTAATAACTGATCGCTTCTTTAGCTCAATTATAAATGGCTTCTGGCTATAACATTTTATTGGAACATAAGATGGTATCTTGACCATGAAATCATGGAAACAATAGAATTGGTTGAGTGATGTACATGTAAGTTATACTGCATGAAACAAACAAAACAGCAAAATATTTAGTACTATGTTGCAATTACTACATATATCAAATCATTTCTCATTCCACTTACCTGTTACAAATTCATCATATTCACATCGTAAAGACCAACTCCTCCATGAACATATACGTAAGATATATTCAGGGGACTAATCCTATGTCGATATGTTGAAGTTAATAGTTTGTTCACATAAATCTGCAATACACAGAAAATTGAAGGTAAAAGAGAATTCATAATATGCTTAAAGGATCATTATCTGCATTAAAACTATGCAAATCATGCATTTTTTTATTTGCTTTCATTGTTTAATAACAACACTTTTTGAGAACGTGTAACAATGAACATTCAAGACTACAAAAAGCAACCTGTAAAAACAACCATTCATGATTTCAAACAGTATCAGATCAAAAAGATTCCAGAGAAAGTAATTCATTACTCAAATATTTCTTAAAATATGATCACATATTAACTAGCTCTCTTGGCTAAAAACCTCTAAAAAAAGAAGTTTTTAAATCCAGTAAACCTGCAATAACAGTCAATGATATATAGAATCTGTCACAGCACTGTAGGCCCTAATTATCAATCACATGGCAGTTTAAAAATGAGTCAAGAATGTAGCAACAATTACAGTTTACTGATATTTACAATGAAACTCTCAGTACTCTATAGAAAATTTAATTATTATTTCCTGGCTGAAATGAAAAAAATGTTCACCAAGAAAATTAAATTTGCAACTGAAAAGTTTTGAATAAAAATTAATCCAATCTTTATTGGAATAATAATAAAATGTTTTAATATTATACTGTTAGAGAAGAACAATGAAAACAAATAATGTATGTAAATGTTGAATAACTTACCTGAAAATGTTCCTCTTTGCAGTCAAAACGTAAAGTAAAATCGTTATCTTGTGTAAAAGTAAAACATTCATCTGTTTCTTCATCTCCCCATTCACCTTCTACCAAGGTATTTCTTACAATTAAGTTGGAAGGATAGAAGCGAACATCATAGTGTAATGCCACTGTCAGGGGACAACAAAAATCACAATCCTCTTCTGGATTTTTCCCACATACGAGGTTGACGGAAAATCTAAAAAAAGAAAATGAATGAATTAAAGGTCTTGAGGCAGTAATAAGATAAGCCACAGCAAGCCTACTGATATTTGTAAATGTTAATACCTCCATTTTGGGAAAAGTGTGGCTTATCTAGTTACAACATATGTCTGGTTCATATTTATGAACGGAGCACACTTTCACTTATCTTGAGACAGACATGAATGTTTATGAATTACGAGAAGCTTGCTAAGGCTGATGTAGCTTATCTTGTTACTGTCCTTTAATCAATAGCATATTGAAGCAAATTGCATTATAAAACCATTTTTTTTCTCTATACCATGCGAATGCCAGGGGAATACCCTGACGAACAGGCCATGGGCCTTATGCAATCTTTCCTACTTCATCCTTGTCCCATCACCTCCCCTTTCACATACATACACCCAAACACTAGCACTGCACTAGCTTAGAGCTTGTCTTGAATGGGGTGGCACCCTGCTGGGGGAGATACCTAGAGGAAGAAAACCCCTGCAACCAGACTTGTAAGTCGGTGCTCCATCCAACAAGAGCTCACAATACATTCACCGGACTCTAATGGGGCTAATGAACAGTTGATGTGCCCAGAACCATCAATAAATCAATCAACATTAATGTCATATTCTTTTATACTATAGGATCATCCATAAATTACGTAACACTAAAGAGGGGGAAGGGAAAGTCAGGCAGCATTACACTTCATTATGTAGCAGTAGGAAGTATTCATTTAGTGTTACAAAACACCGGTTCTTTTATTATTTTTTTACATTTTTTAATATTTGTTCGAATACTTTCTTTCTTTCTTTGAGTCTTTTACTAAGACATTAAAATATCAACTAATTAATTTGTTTTAAAAACCTAAATAAATTAAATGTATTAGAATAAATGGGAATATTTTTTATCACTTTTTTCTGTATGATTACGAAGAAAATAGTCAAAACTTATCAGTAGTATATTTTAGAATCCAATTAAATTGGCACAGTAGACGCTCACCATGCATCATCCATGACGGCCTATGCACACTTTGAGCTCAGAAATTTTCTTGCCTATGCTCCTTCCTTCACTCAAAATTTACACCCAATCGTATTGTTAGATGCAGTCAGCATTACCAAGTAATTCCAACTTTAATAATCATAAATTCAATACACAACACCAACAAAATGAATACAATGTTTTTATAGTGCATTTATTTATTTTCACTTCTTGCATTTATGGGTGGGATAGAGAAGTCGCAAACATTACATAATTATTTAGGGAGGTTCAAACATACATTACAGGAGAGAGGGGGTATTCTAAATTCCCCAAATTTGTATTACATAATTGATGGATTGCCCCTATACAAATTAAAGAGCAATAAATCGAAGTAGTACCTAGAAGCATCACAGCGTGTCCTTCCACTTATTTCTAGACAAGTTCCTGGTTTCAGGCAATCCTCCAGCGAAAGTTTATAAGGACCTGGTGGCTTTGGTACTTGAAATTCATCTTCTAAAATCTGAAGAGCACCAAACAACAGGATTAGCTTATAAAGCTTTTAAGCCCAAAGTAGTCTCTTGTATAAATACAATCTTTAAGTGAATAAATAAATATTTGATATCAGAAACCAGACAGCAGACGACCAGACACACAAAATAAGCAAGTGATGAAGGACAAACAAAATAAAACTTGATTCTAGTAATACATTGAGAGATTAAGATTTGAATTAACAAAGCTGCCTGAACACATTCATATGCCACCTCACTATCTTCCATGTAAATTTGTGCCTATTCTTGAGAACAAAGTTTTAAAGTGAAAGCAAATAAAACTGATTTATGTTGAGATTTACTGAAATTGAAAACTTAATGTGATAATGTTTACCATATTGCCATATTAGGTCTTTTTTTTTAATTGCCAACTTAAGAAGCAACCTACAATCAAGAATTATTACACTGTCCTACAGTTCAGAAAATCAAGGCATTATGTTTTAATCACTTTAAAATGGTAACTTCAATTAAATATAAAAAAAGAAAAATTAATGATAAAATGTTGCTATTTTAAGATACCTTTTTTTAAAAACTGCAAATATTGCAAATTATGATTTACTGAACAGAAAATCAAGCTGCTAGCATGGTCACAGGTAAAAATGCTCTCAGCAGATATTTTGCAAATTGTCAGTAACGACCTAATGTAATGAAATAATTTCAGTCTGATGTAGTTCGTGTAGAGTACTCACAGGAGCTGCCTTATAGCACACTTCTTGTACATCAATATCTCCTCTAATTGATAAATGGGTCACTGTTGAAAGATCTTGTCTGTGCTTATAGTAAATAAATGGAAAATCATCCACAATTATCTGAAAATCATTAACAAATTTTATTACATACAATCCAATCAAATATACAATAAACATATCAAGCAAACATCTGATACAATAAACAGAATTTATACATTTAGATAGCCAATTTTTTTTATTATTGATATTAAGAACACAAATATACTCAGGTTTTTAAATTTTTGAAATAATTAAAACCCCAATTATACTCAGGCTCTTATGTTAAGTGGTTAAAAAGGATTTCATATTTCTTGAAAATTTATGTTACTAATAAATGATAGTGTAATTGATTATGTAACTGATAATTGATTGCTGTGAAAGGTTCTTAAGAACATGTAATTGAAAACAAAAATTAATATATATGTTTCAAAACAACAAATTTAATTTTGAAAAAAATGTTTATGCAAACTTAAAGCGCGTAATTTTACATCAATGACAGAATCATATTTTACAAATATACATCTGCCCAATAATTCAGCATATTACCTTATAGCCTCGCCGTTCTGAGTAAATTTGGATGGAGACATTCTGATTAGGCTTGAAAAAGAATCCTCCATCTCTTTCTTCATACCCCCATTGTCCATTGGATTTTGTATTTCTCACTATTACAGGTAGGTCTTCGTCAAAGCGAGGATTGAAATGAAGTGCAATGTCTCCAACTATGTCAGGAGATACTACTGGCCCACATTGCAGATTTATTTCGAACCTAACACAAATAAATCTGAATTATTGAAAGAGGAAATATACTATCACAATAACAACAGCCTGAAAAACATACCTAACAGGATCTGAGTGAACATAACCTGTCACTGTCACAACCGACCCTGGAGAAAATCCGTCTGGGAAACATTTGAACACCATCGAGAAAACTGATAGAATGTAAAGTAAACATGAAATTCATCCGTTGTAATAACTCCTCTCTGACACTTTGCGAAGACAACACAATCCACTGCGAGTGAATTGTCATACGGAGCTGAAAATCACTTGCTTAAATCCACATACCAGCACGACGACGGTATTTAACTTTTCGATGACAATTAAAAGGAAACAGTACTGAACCTTCTAACGAACACGGAAGAATAATATACCCGAGGCCTCGGCATTTTTACTCTTTCAGCACCGTTCATGACGACATGACTTGGCATCAGGTCCAGCCAAATCAAGCGCCGCGCGAATTCTGTCAAACCTTTTGCTTTTTGTACCGGGGTTCGAACCAATTTGAACCATGTTTGCTTACACAGATTCAAACTACAAACTAGCCGGCCTCCGAGCATCTATTAATATACTGTTTATAAGAGAGGACCAAGCTACAAGGGAAACATGAAATATAACTTCGCGCGTCGGAGCCTCATTTAGGGAAGCTCGGATTAACTGGTAGAGGAAGATAAAAAATGCGAAAACAAAATGGTATTACTACTGCCAACGCCAAATATAGATTTTTAACTTCTCCCTAAGGAGTGGGAAGTTTCTCTAAAATTGATATTCCCTAATCGTAGCTGATGTCAGGGCTCCATGAATTTGAAACTGATATTTTAATTTAGGGGGAAATTTAAATGAAGTCTCGGGAACATTTCAAAATAATGGTTGCATCGTTTTTTAATTAAATTTTGTTGTTGTATAGTGTAAAGGACGTTTAAGAGAATGGTGCAGGTCTCATGTTCGTTAAAACCCCAATTTTTTGAAAATTGCAAAAGTTCAAAATTTTTCGGAGTCTTCCTACAACTAAAATAATAAATTAAGATTTTTTCCTTTAATGAAATCTGTTCCTTACAGATAGATATTGAAATAAGGTCATGTACCCTTTTTCGAAAATTTGAGGACTTTTTGCGTGGAAATACGGGTGGAAAAGTACGTGATGTTTTAACACAAGTTAGTAAATGATTTTTGGAAATATTGTTATTTGATACAGTACCTTTTCCTGCTTCACCGAGGGAATAAAATTCTACCATCAACATCAAAATACTAAGTAGTATTGATACTAAATACTAAATTGATACAAAATTGATACTAAATTGATTCAAAATACTAAGTAGTATTAGCACTAGCATCAACAGAAGGTTCTAAAGATTTAACGAATGGTGCTACAGAGTGGTAATTAAGTTTCAGTACTCCATATATATACGTAGGTATGCGTGAAAAATTGGAGCCATTTTGAGAAAATAATTGTTTAAAATTTTGTTTTAATTGCTTATATTTTATGCAAAATTACGCGAATGCTACTCACATTTTTGAAAAATTGTAAGTGACCTTATTTTACAATCTGTCTTGATATAATAGATTTCATTCAGAAAAATCTTTATTTTGAAGAGTGTGGTCATAGGAAAACTTCGAAAAAAATTATACTTTTGTAACTGTCGAAAAATCAGTGATATCAACGAAAATAAAGACTTTACCATTCTCTTAAGTGTTCTCTACGCTATCCGCGGACAAAGCTAATAAAAATGTTTGCAATTTTGGAGAAAATTTTGAAAATGTTGAGGATTTCTTTTAAGTACCCACCAATCAAAATATTTGTTTCAGACTCAAGAGAATATCGTCTGAACGCTTGAGGCGCTAGCTCTGCACAGCACATGTTTTTTGGCATTGCTAATTTTCGGTTGGTAATTTTTGAATTTTTGCAGTTTTCAAGAAATCAGAATTTTTAACAAACATGAGACCTGTACATTTTTCTTGAACATCTTACACGCTATCCGAGGTCAAAATTTAATAAAAAAATACGGTGACTTTTTCAGAAAAAATGTTTAAACAAAATAAAAATTGTCTATATATCACGCAAATCGCCGCCCAAAGTACATTTTTTTTGGCATTTTCTTAATTTCTCTACTTCCTAATTGTAGAGTGGAAATATTATTTTAAGATTATTAAAGAACAGTTATACCCTGTCCTAAATCTCAATTGTCTTCGAAAATTTTGAAGCCGTTTTTAAAAAACTGGCTTTTAAGCGCTACTGTAGATTCGAAATTTAAATATATTTTTTCACAGAAAATTTTAGTTTCGAAAAAGTAAATTTGAAATCATTTTAAGTACTTTAAATCACGAATACAATAGTGTTTACAAATTGCAGGAAATGTACATATCAATGGCGTGAGTGATCTTTCAAAAACTTTACATTTGTATAATTATTGAAAAAACAAAAAATACACCGAAATTTACTTTAAGTCATATAAAAAGGTGCAATCACCACTATCGAACCACTGTATTCAGAAAAATAGAAATGAAGTTATTTTCCGAATGGGACGAATTCGCAGAGCAAAGGCCAATCATAGGAGCCGAACCATCGACGTTTACGGATCTAAATGCTCGGAGATTATTTCAAGAAATGGAAAGGCAACCCTTTTGTAATTATATATTATACTATTCTTTACTCCCCTTCGGAAAAATAATATTCTTCGAAAATAACACGTTTAAGACGTCTCAACCTTAGATTAAAACACTTTCAATCATTTTATATGATCGTAAAAATTCAATAAATCTCGAAATATTGGGATGCGGGCTACCGAAAGTTACGCCTGTTGCTACCTGAATGAATCGCTTCAGTCGCCACTGGATACCCACAATCGCGAGTTAGTCGCGCCTTCCGAAACCAGACGAGGCAGCTTCCATCGCTTACTTTCCATCTCTGTGAACCTGCTTCCAATTTCCGTCACTCGAAGGAGAAAACAAGCTCGGGGCAGATATTCTCCAGTTTCTTCCACCTGTCGTTACATCATCGCTTCTTCATTCACTGGGGATTCACTAGTCCGAATGGAGATATTCATAGTCCTCGAAAGCTCGATTTTTTGAGAAGTATTCATTGGACTTTCTAATCCATCAGATCAGTCCTAAAGGATAATTTCCAACTTGTTATACGTTGCATCATTCCTAACGGATCCTTAAAACTCTTCATTTATCTTGCTCCACCCAAAGCTTTCAGATGCTTGTTTTCTTTATTGTAAATAAACAATGTAGTACATTATATTAGGACAAGCAGATAATATATTGTAACAAAATTTAGATTTCCTTAAATTATCTTTAAATTTACGAGCATGAAAACTCTCACTTTTATTGTTTGCTAATAACTGAAGGAACAAATATAATTATTTTTAAATATACACAATATCTTTTAACATCTTTCCTGGATGCAAAAGGTGTCGTTTGCGTAGGTGACGAAAGCTCAGGAAAACCTCATACAACAAATGACACGAGGGTCAATAATAAGATAATTATTAAATAAACTATTTCCGTAAAGTATGAAACCAGTGAAAGAATATATTCAAATTAAACCAATACCAGATGTCCATTGCTATCACTTTGTTTTCCTTTTCTCTCCACTGTAATTACTTTACCTTTTTAAGATAAAGATATCAATTGTTTTAGCGTGTGAGTATCAATATAATATTAAAATGTGTCTTTTTGGTAATGTTTAAAACTCTGTAATAGAATCTATTATTAAAAATTCAATGCTGAAAAACAGCAAAAGAAACAGAGAAAGTGTTTGTTAGCAACAAAAGAAGAGAAAATATTGTAATCGTGCGCCGGAAAAATGCGAATTTTCGACCCCAAAACTCTTATTGCCGGGTGCTGGCAAGGAAAAAGTGGATAAATCCAGTTAAATATAGACAAAAATCCTCTAACACTTGGTGTAGCAAGAATCCATGTTTTGTGGGTACTTTATTCCGAAAATTCGATTGTCGGCAAAATGTTTGTGCCGTCCGTCTATGCACAACACTAGCGCATACACCATTCGGCCGATTTTCTCCAAAATTGATATTTCCCAATCGTTCTACCTGATGACACGAAACCTGGAATTTGAAACCGAAATTTTTATTTTGGGGGATACTTTACATGAATCCCCATAGGACATTTTCAAAATTTTCAGACAAATAAGGCTCGAAATTTTTTATTAAATTTTATTGTTGAATAGTGCAAAGGACGTTTAAAAGAATGGTGCAGGTCTCATATTCGTTGAAATCCCCGAATTTTCGAATATTGGAAAAAACATTTTAAAAATTCAAAATTGGAGATAGAGATTTTTGTCTCAGATAAAGTCTGTTCACAATTAGCTGTTCAAAAAAGGTGATGTACATTTTTTTTTACTCTCTCTCACTCTCAGGCAAAGGCATATACTTGTAAAACTATTTATGAACTTCTGATGTAATATGAACTTCATGAAACGAAAATGACACCCACTTTATTCCTTTTAGCATCCCTTCTTCTATCCGCGGCAAAAATTTGGAGCGATTTTTGATTTATTTTTATAAATTGCATTAATTCCAAGCTAAAAATACGTGAAAACCACTAGTTGTCCTCAACTTTTTTTAAAGATTGTTTTGAACAGACTTTGTATAAGGCAAAAAACCTCAATCTTCAAATTTGAAGTTTTGAAATGTTAACTTTTTGTAATTTTAGAATATACAGAGTTTGCCGAAAATGGTACTAGCATCATAATTTTTTACCTTCCCATGATACGAGGAGACAATTTAAAAAACGATTTGTCAAAATTACCCGAAGACTACTTATATTTTCGAAAAATTGAACATGAACTTATTTTAAGATCTGTCGTTGAGGAACAGAATTATTAGAGAAAAATTCCATATATTGAATAATAATAATAATAATAATAATAATAATAATAATAATATAATAAATTTATTCAAACTGCAATTGGCAGCTAATTACATAAATATGATAGTATAACTAACATGCAAATTATATAGTAAAAATAATAATGGTACAATAATAACTATAGTAACAACGATAAGACTAACGAAAATAGCATAATAATAATAATAATAATAATAATAATAATAATAATAATAATAATAATAATAATATAAAAACTGACTGATTCATATAATATTAAATTATCCTATTAAAGAAACTCCTATAATCTAACTCCGCTCTGATTGTTGTTCAATTAAGACCACATTCGACTGGCAATGCACTGCATTTCACTTCACTTCGCTCTGACCCTTAAATCACTTCCTTCAAGTCAACACTGCACGACACCTCACTTCAAATACATGATTTACGCTTCTCTCTATAACCTACTATTTTTAGTTGTGTCGCTCATTTACTTAGTAATTCCCTAAATTAATTTCCGCAACTATTGGATGCTTTGAGGAAAGGGTTCAAAGGTTTTTGCAAGCAATCTATTCCATTCTTTTATCGTTCGATTTGTGAAAGAAAATTTTGTGACACCTGTTCTCTGGGGTGTTAAATTTATTTTGTGCCTGTGATCCCCGTACTGATGTATGTAGGAATACTTAGCTGCCGATTAATTTCTTTCCAAGCTGAATGACCGCTATAAGCTTTAATACAAAGCGCAGAGCCTGGCTACTGATCACCTATTTTCGAGTAAATCCCATGCTGCCATTTTCTTGTAA